CTAGGTGAGAGCTGAAGATGTGACCTAGCCGGGTAATGAAACGTTTGCAGGAAGAGAACCAAGCTCGGAGAACCCCAAGGACTCCACATTGTTTGTTTCTCATTTCCTGGGCATTGCCAGGGTTCATACAGCAAACCCGAAGTGAATGCCTCTAATGAGAAGAATTGAACTGCTGGGTTAGTTGTTGTGGTTGTGAAAATGTTGAATCACAGGTGATTATTTCACTAATTACATGGGTGACTGCAAGACTCATTGGAGGATGACCTCTTACAGGCCAGAGGCAGAAGAGTCAAAGAAAATACTTAGCATTCCTCCCCCCACCCCGCAAAAAAAATTGGATTTAATGGCTGGGAGGAAAAGAATCTGCTCTGGTAAGGCTTGTGAATTAGTTTGTTTTTACTGGAGAGTTTTAGGTTCAGCTGTGACTGTGTGTGTGTGTGTGTTGGGTGGTTGATTCTGTTTTTGTTCTGCCTAAACTGGTTTTCCTGCTTCTCTGCTAAGACAGAAGAAGTGGGACTTTGTTTTGTTTTCGAGCGTACTGCTGAAAATGAAAGTAAAGGTCAGATGTGCTGTTTGTTTTCCTTTGCGAAGCCTTATTGCGAAGCCTTATTGCACACAAGCAATCCAGTAGGCCCATATCAGGTGGGGAGGAAATCTCACAAAGAACCTCTGGGGCTTAGCAGGACAATAATAGTCAGGGATGTTTATATTTTTTGAAGAGGTTCATATGGTCTTTTGATAAAGGGTAGCTGATTTTAAACAAGCTTAATTATTTTCTTTTTTTGTGGGATAGAACGTGGTCATGACTTTACTTTTCCCCTTTTAGAACAAAGAGTAGAAGATGTCAGGCTTATTCGAGAACAGCACCCAACAAAGATACCGGTGAGTTGGCTTCCAGCTGTATGTCTGGTCTGTCTAATGGTGAGACCTGATTAACAGTATTTGAGGGCAGAGGGTCTGGGTGGACTAACAATTTCAGTTGATGTAGTCACAATTGGTGAAACATAGTTTGCCCCGCGTTAGGCTTGTTTTCGAGAAGAATAAACATTTCTTTTGCTTCAGAGCTCAATTTCTGATCGCAGCTGGCTTTTCTTTTAATATGTAACTGAATGGAGAAAGGAAATAGACTGAAATAACAGGGAGAACTGGATTCACAAACTTCCAATTTATTTTGAGAGAAGAGGAGGATCTGGAGCGAGAGAATAATTGATTCCAGTCTTTCTCCAATACAGTTTTGAAGTTCCTTTTCTCCAATGTTTCTGTTGACCCTGAGTGAAAAACTCAAGATCGCATACCTCAAAGGGACAGAAAGCATAAATCTAGAGAACCATCGCAAGACAGCAGAAGTAGCATGACCACAAAATAACAGGAATTCAGTCAAATGAATAAAGCCACATTAGATGTTGAAATGTCTGGGAAAGAAGCGATGCCCCTTGTTGATGACAGGCAGCCATCCTCAAAGAGCCTATTTAATAACATTCCCAAAGGCCTGCTCCCTCTTGAATAACTAGTGGGCAAGGAAATACAGAAGAAGGCTTCCAAATCCAAAACTTTGGGGAGCTTGGGTGTTAGAAGACATTTCTTCGGGTCCTTAGTTCTCAAGCTACATACAAAGAGAAAAGGAAGGAAATAGTGGTACAGCTGGGCAGATCAGGGCAGAGGGAATCCGAGGCCCAAGAATAGTTCTGTCCATGAGGATTTCTCAATCCACTTGGAACTCCATCTTCTTTTGTTGACTTCAGCCTTTTGCTGCCCCTGTCACAGAGGGGGCAGGGCAGGCCTGGGGGTGCGGGTTAAGAGTTAGGGATGTTCTCTGAATCGATGGCCTCTTTCTGGGTTAAACTGCCCATCCTTCTGTTCTATAGGACTGGGTACATAGAGTAGAGGTGGACCACCTCCCAAGGGTCTCCTGAAGTTGTTCCCATCTTTTCCTGAGCCTGTTCTAGGAAAAGATGCAGTTGCTTTAAGGAGCATCTAACAGGCTCAGGGAAGATGATGATTTATTGCATTTATACGCCATCCCAATTCCCAGCAACTCTTGACAGCTTACAAATTGTTAAAAACATTTAAATACAAGGAAACCACCACAACAAAAATTAAAATGACAGAAATGACTAAACCTGATGAGAACAAAGAAAAAAGGGCTTCCATTACCCTCGCCAAAGGCCTGGGTGAATGCAGAATGCCCCTGCGATGCCAAGCAGACCCTTGCCTGCTTCTAGTCCAGTGACAGGCCCAGGGAGGGTGCCAAGTGACTGTGTTTGCCTGATTCGGCTGGTTCAGACGCTTGTGCAGTTATTGGGCAATTCCCGTTGCAGGCAGTGCGCAATTCTGGGAACCTCCTTAGCCAGGGAGTGCCCACTCTCTTAAGTTCTCCGCTCACTGCAAAGAAGGATATGAAACAGTCATTTTCCAGTCATGTTTTTCTCCATCAGAGCAAGGAGCAAAATCCAGAATAGCCTGACTGGGATTGTCAGCATTATAGATCAGCCGGGGGCTTACCCCCCCCACCCCTTTCTCCCCTTCCCTCTGGATTGTCCGGATCAGTGGCTGATTAGGCTGTCTGCAAAACATGCTACCCCTCCCCCCGGGTTAAGGGGGTCTTGGATGTTGGGCCAGTCTGGAGAGGCTTCTGCCCCTGATCAGTTTGCCATTTCAAAGAAGGGAATCAGGCCAACCGCAGGGAACAGACTTCTGAAAGGCTGTTGGATATAGCTGCTGAGATAGTGTTTGCAATTTTTTTTAATTCATTTTTTTTGCTAGAGGTTACACAGCAGTATTCTGCGGTCTTTCATAATAGCCTGTGAACTGAAGAGATGATGGCCAGATGGGGCAGGGTAATTTCTGTCAAATAAGGCAGTAAAAAAAAAGGAATAAGTCTGCATTTATTTTCTTTCTTAACTTACGTAATTGGTTGGTTTGTTCATTTATGTTGTAATACAGTACTTATAATCTACCCCATTTGCAGGAACTCTGGGCAGTGTGTAACATCAGAGGAAAAAAATAACACAGAATAAATAACTAGATGAAAACTAGTATAAGAAAACAAAAATCAAGCATTGATAAAACCCAAGATAGGTAGCAGCATCAGCCAGAAATAAAATCTCCTAAATCTTAACCTTGACTAATCCATCTAGGAATGACGGTATTAGAAGGGAGTTCTGTGACTGGATACCTGAACTGAGCTTTCTGGTTCCCAGCTATGCCATCGTTCTCTCTTGCAAGATGTCACATAGATGTATTGTTTTTATTTACAAGATGTGGTAGCCTTGTAGATTTATGTTCCTGGTGTTACGTTTGAGTCTTTCTGGCCCAGATATGTTGGACTGCAGTTCCTATAATCCTTGGTTAGTGGTGATGCTGGCTGGGAATTATGGGAGAAGGTTGGAAAAGGCTGGTAGATTTTGCTTCAGTGCATAGATTCTCCCTCAATTACACTCATCAGTCTTGCATAGCATACTTTTTAAAAAATCCACTGTTTTCAGTATAACATACTGCCCAATAACATGTATTTAGGGTCAGATTAAAGTTGTAGGGGGAAAAAAATCTTGTGCAAAATACTGTGCTGTTAAAGTTTCTTTTAACTGGTGACTTCTTTTTGTAATTTGAAGAATTGTGAATTTCACAGCTCTTTCAAAGCCCAAGTTTTCTTTTTCAACGATAGTAATAACAATTTCATTGAAGGAACAGATCTGACGGAGGGATCCTGTCAGCATGTTTTTGCAAGTAGCATATTTAAATGTTTTTTTTTTCAGTGTCCAATAGAGCAGAAAACAAATGGCACAAAATAATCACGTCTCTTATCTAATTCTGTCTTCTTTCTAAACACACAACTCCTTCTATAGAAAAAATGGAAATTGTTATTTGAGGAACATTCATTTTTAGGTTTGAAGCCCAAATAGTCCTTTTCTTTTCCTTTTTTTCCCAAAAAGAACTAACAATGGAACAAAGCAGTTACATCCAGTTCCATTTTTATACCTGTCATATGATCTCTTTAGTCAAATCAAAGTCATGGCAGCTTTAAATAGGCTTACATAATCTCCTTCAGGAGCATTTTTCTATTTCTGAATGCCACATCTAAGTTGTCCATTTTCAAGATAACCCCCTTTTGCTCGACAAAGAGCCCAGTTACGTTATAAGGTAATAGCAGACACTGTTCTATAAGAGTGTTCAAACTGATTTTTCAGAGCATGCAAACAGTGATTAAAAGATCTCAAATGATGGATTCTTCTGAGCCTATCTTCCTGTATGCACTTTGTCTGGGAGCCAGTCCCACTGAAATTTATACCATGAACATCTTGTATGTGGTGTTTGGCTGATCAGTTTTTTAGAAAACAGAGTGTTACTTTTCAGGTCGAAGAGCTTTTGTCGGGGGCCATATTTACATATTTACAGAGGACTTTGGGGCAAATGTTGGGGGGAGGAGGATGATTTTGCAATGCTTTTCAAAACATCCCTTTTGTTACCCCGACTTCTGTGATTTCTCCTGCAGTCGCTTCGTCTTGTTCTGAACCTATCATGGTAATTCTGGACACACTCCACCAGGATTTTCGTTAAAGTAAAGGCAGCTATGGAGATCCATGAGTTTCAGTACAGGCTTCGTGTTGTTCAATGTATTGGTTTTAAATACCGCAAGTAGGAATTGCTGGTGTGTTGACAATACGAACCCCCTGTCTGTAGTACAAGTGATGTTAAATGGCATCCATTAGAAGAACATTGTTCCATTTTGTGCCAATCCAGTCATAAAATGTGGATTTAAAGTTGTACGACTATGGCACTCCAGCGTTTGCCTCTACTCTTGGCATCTTTTCTAGGTAATTATCGAAAGATATAAAGGAGAGAAGCAGCTTCCTGTTCTGGACAAAACTAAGTTTCTGGTCCCAGATCATGTCAACATGAGTGAGCTTATCAAGATAATCAGGTATCCCATCTAGTATTACTTTAGGCATGGCTGGCTGGGGAATTCTGGGAGCTGAAGTCCACCCATCTTGGTTCCGTGCATCGGAGGAGATGGAGAGTTGGGGATATGGGGGAGAAGGATTTGGTTTTGTCAATTTAGAATCTGTGACGCCTGGATGACTTTGGTGCTGCCAGCTGCTCAAAAGGGAGAGCAACCACCCGGCTGGAAAATGCTTGCTTGGCGAGGTCAACTTAGCTGTACGAGTCATTTGGTGATCCTTTCTGGACGGGATAAAGAGATGGTTATCCAACGGGGAGTTCCCAAGGCTAGACCTGCAGTGACTGCTGCTGAGCTGAACACCGGGGTTCCCGGCACATCGTTCCTGACAGTTTTCCTTTCTCCTTCCAGACGGCGGCTGCAGCTGAATTCCAACCAAGCTTTCTTCTTACTGGTGAACGGACACAGCATGGTGAGCGTTTCCACACCCATTTCGGAGGTGTACGAAAGTGAAAAGGACGAGGACGGATTCTTATACATGGTGTATGCTTCGCAGGAAACGTTTGGCATGAAATCCTCCGTGTAAACACCCTACCCATTGGCTTGTAGCCTAGCCTAGTTTTACACCCCCCCCAGGAAAAAGAAAGGGATGTCATGTCACCGACCTGCTCAAAGTAGTTGTGCTTTGCGGGTGTTCTCAATGTCCTTTCATTTTGTTTGTAAATATTTAACAGACGAGTGCAGTACGGACAAGCAGCCCAGCTTCGTAGACTTGCTATAAATTTGCACAGGCCTATTTGCTTTTTAAAAGCCTCTGGGATTTGAGCAAGACCCTAACATGCATGTTAAGTTGACAATAAAAAGAATGTTTGCGTTACTCACATCATAGGAACTGGGCTGAATGTTAAGTAGCGAACTGAAATACATCTGTGTGATATATCCTGTTAATTTATATTTCAGCTCCTAAAAATGGCTTTTCCTGAAAGGAAACACATAGGAGTAAAAGTCTGCTTCTTTGAATTTCTTGATGTTTGGAAAATCAGTGCATGTGGTGGAGGGAGGGGTTCATTCCCCAATATCAACAAAATACCAGATTGCTCATTATAACTATATATCAAGCATAGCTTTAGTTTAGGAAGTGTGTATTTTAAAACTAGGTTATGTACTTAACAGTTGAAACTTTAATACATTTGTATTCTGTCATGCATCTTTTTTTTTATCAAATCCGTCCATCTCACCCTCAAAAAAAGAGGGCTTCCTTTTATCCTTCAAATGGTATTGAATGCTTGTTTTGAAGAAAAGGATTTTGCAAATAGCAGATGCAAGCCTTCTGGATCAGGTACAGGCAAAGGCAAGCTTCTTAACCATTGAAATTGTGTATTTTTGTGCACATCTGTGCATATTCATCTTTCTACCTGCCACGTTCTTGAACTGGAATAGGTGGAACCAAGATTGAATCTGCATTGCATCCTTACTGAAAACCTTGGTTTCCTTCAATTTAAATTTCACACTGAGCATAATTTCACTTTATTAAAGACTAGGCTGTATCTAAAATTACAAAGAATATGTGTGGATTCTATCACTAAAACTTTGTATCTACTGCATGTTGACTGAATTTTCATTTTACTGTTAACACAATATGCCCTATGCAAAAGGAGTATTTCAGATAGCTGTTTTGATTCTTCAGAAATGTAGTAAATTTACTCTTATATTAATGTGCAGATATGATCGTGTGATAGGAAACTAGCCTCCAGCAAGCAAGAAAAGCAGTGCTAAATCTCAGCACGCTGCATGCTCTCACTCTGATTGGCCATTTGTACCAACGGATTGGATTCACCTGTTCAGGGTTTGCTTTTAAAATAGTCACTGTGAGATCTCATTTTATTGTAAAAAATGTAATATCTTCTGTTCAATTTGAGTTCTTCATGATAGACCGCCCTCTTAAGCATTGAATGACTACATCTTGTTGCTTTCTTTTAAAAAAGTGTTGACGTGGGTAGTTCCGTCCCAAGCGATTGAAAAGTTGTCTTCGAGAAGTCCGCCCAAAACCTGGCCCGTTGTTCCGCTGTGTTTGGTTTAGGTGGCACTTCATTGCAGATTGAATGGGTGTGGCTATGAAGCCTCTGAAAGTCAGGATCCAGCATTTTATGTAAAACGACACCAAGAAATCAGTGCAGGAATAGAACATTAAAGCAGCTGCCTTCGACCTCGTTGCTTGGAACCATGGCTCCTAGGATTCCAGGTCGCCATTGCTGCTAGCTGTGCTGGGTGGGAATTCGGAGTGGCAATTCTAATGCAGCTAGAGAGGACTGGACCGTGAAGGCTGTAATAAAAGAAATGCCTGTTGAGTAGATTATTGCCTAGCCCATCGCCTGCAGCATGGCCCTGCCTCCTCTTGCAGAAAGTAAGCAGAGTTCAGTACAATCTGCCTACGAGTCCCACTTCCAAGGATGCCCTTTGCCGCTCTGTTGCTGAAAACAGCTTGCACCAAGCTTTGCCATCTTTAGCCTCAACTGAGAAGAAAACATCAACTGAGGATAACTGAAAAGACACTGCGGTCTTTTATTTTTTCAGTACATTAAATTTACTCAGATAAAAACATTCTAAAAATGTACAATTTTACCTTTAACAAAGTATAATAAAACATAAAAATCCCAATACCAGAATACTTGACATTTACAATTCAAAATCATATTAGGTAAATATTAAATATTTACAAAACTTTTGATATTTATATAAAGTTACATGCACATTTTGTAATACTAGGTGTAAAAGAAATGGCTCGAAACGGGCAAAGGAGTGTCTTTTGTTCCAAACAGAAAACTGTAACTGGAAAACACATTAACCTGCAATTTTGGGACACGAGTGTTTCCTACAACAGTTAGAATTTAGTTTACAGAGATAATTCCAAAGGAAGATACAGTGAAAATTGTGGATAGTGGTAGCTTTCTGAATTGCTGCCATCCTTAATTTCTGCTTTCGGGTATAGCCTGTTAAGGGGGTTGTGGATAAGGCTACTTGTCTGCAACAAGAGCACCCGTTGCCAGCATAAGGAATCTGGTCAGTTATGATTATTTGGGCCTTAAAATGAAGTATCGTATCTGGTGGAGTGTTTTCTCTGGGTGTTTTGGAGTGTTCACTTCAGGATAATATGAAATACATGATTTTTAACGATTAGAAAGGTTCTCTCTCAAATCAGTTGCTAGCTTGCAGTTTTGTGGTGCTCCATTAAGTTCTTATTAGCTAAACTGCATACCTGGCAGGTGTCCTACAGTACAGTCAGTGAAAATAGTCTCCTCCAATACAGACTCTGTCTGGTTTTTAGCAAGGAAATACTTCATCCCCTCTCGGCTAGGACTTTGGGTGATTCTGCAATTATGTGCTGTTGTTTACAACATGACTTGAGTCACATTCTTTCAAGTCCTTCAGTGCAAAGTTGCAGCCAAACTGAGGCACACAGTTAGTGTTTTAAAAAGGGCTTAATCGCTCCTGCACGTGAGGCCTGCTGTGAGCATCTATTCCGGTATGAAACACTGCCAACCACTTCATGTCTGAATAGTGGAGAATATGAATAAAGTTAGATCAACAAGGCAAACCTAATACTTTCAGAGGTAAAACAAGACAGCGAGCTCAAGCTTTCTTCTGGGGGCTCCGTTGCATTTTCTCTGCAGCTGTATTATAGCAAAGCAGTTCTTTTTGAAAGTGGGATGGCTGACAAAGGGCTTCTTCCGTGGGAAAGAAAATCACACATTTTTTAATCGCACAGATGTAATGGAGGCAGGTTTCTAGAGGCTTCCCAATTAAAATACCCAATAAGGGTTTTATTCTTCTAAGTTTGTGTGGTGGTAGGATTCCTTTTTTTAAAGAATGGACATTTGGCTCTTAGCACATATTCCAGACTACTAGAAGCATTCTCAACTTGAAGAGTAAACATGAACTGAAAGATGTAATGACCATGGCAGGTTGCTTCTACTCATGGCAAGATCATTAAGGCAAAGTAAACTGCTGAGTTCCCATCCATTTTGGGTACAATTTTTCGATTTTCCTAACAGTAACGGTGTATAGCAGCAGCCTCAATAATTCAGGGTATTACAGATGAAGTTTACATATTATGATCTTGACATACTGATTTTAACAGCAGCCACGTTATTACCCCAGAGTTCAGGGGGAATAAAGTTCAGCTAACTGAGTCTGTCTCACACCCATCTAACACTGTTTTGGTGAAGCCAAAGTGAGGATATGGAAGTCTAGTACTCCATTGCATAGAAATAACTGAAGTTAGATGCAGGCCTGCTAGAATATCAGTTTCAAAGGCAACAGATGAGCACAGGAATAAAACTGAATTGCTGCTTTACAGAAAGCAGAGTGAAGTTACTGACATTCCCACTCCCACTGTTCAGAGCGAAGCTCTCTTGTACTACAGAACAGCACACAGCTTTTCACAATTTCATATGTATTCAGTGCGGAGACCCAGCCGATCCCACTCCCCTGCCCAGCCACACTGAACTCATTTGGCAGACCTCTGCAACCGCTTTGCGTGCCCACAGTACGACTACGCCATGAGGCAGTTCAAACTTCAGTCCTATCAATGAAGCAAGAGAGCTGCAACCAATGCAGCAGGTAGAATTGATTTTAAAAACCATTGCCTCCCTTTGGCCGATAAATCCACATTGTCTCAACTCTATTGTATAAGCGCTACTGGCTGCTACCTAGTTATCAAAGCTAATAGTTTATAGCGTACATCGAATGAAGAGGCAAACTATAAACTTTTCTAAGTAATGAAAAGGTATGCTACTGTATTTGACGCTGTGCCTTCTAAATCCCACAAACTCCTGGAAGAGTCTGAATTTTAAAATTTATTACAGATGCAGAATACCATTTCCTATGGCAGAAACCACTGCACTGTTAACAGTTCCTTAAGTTGCAGAAGAGAATTTTAAAAAAAATACCACTGAGTTTGAGTCTCTGGCACTAGACCCTTGGAAACTAAGTTTAATCCATAGCTGGTAACTTAGTTCTACATAAGAGTAATTGCTGACAAGCATTATCATAACTGTTTCCAGAATGAAGCAAAACATTCACCTCTGTTCTTTGGGAAGAAAGAGAGGATTAAGTTTTCTTTATTAGAAGACCACGTAGCCTGCTGGTGCCTGTTTGTTTCCAACGGTTAGAACATCTCTTCCACTGATCTCAGTTTGCTAGAAGTGCAGATAGTCAGAACAGAATTATACATTCTTCTGTAGTGCAACCCTTTAAAATCCCAGAGTGTAGTGCCTGATTTGTTTTGAGAAAAAGTAGATATGTTTATCTAGCTTCAGAAGTTAGGAGTCCAGCAGGTGAATGGCTACTGCACCATCAGCCTCTAGCTCTCGCTCCAGATTCTAACATAGCTGCCCAGGAGTTTAAGTTTCCAGCATGGAAGGTCAAAGTATGGCAACATTCTTCAGCAAAAGTGCAGGAGTTTCTATACAACAGAAAAGACAGTTGGCCAGTCTCACCTAGCATCTGGGAGATCCAACATTAAGATCTGCGTTATCGTTTTGGCAATTCAGGAAAAACGGGCTTGAAAGCCCCCCCTAAAATTTCAGTTCCTTCCTAGTGTTGAAGTAGAGCACCTTTGGATTAAAAAAATAACATTAATAAGCTCAACAGATAAGACTCCTTAGGTTCCAATCTGAAGTTTCCTAATTATCTCATGGCTTCTGCCATCACAAAATATTGCATCTGAAGTTAACGTCAGTCTGTGGACTCTAAACTCTCGGCCGGGGGAGCATATTTTAACCGAAATGTACCTGAAGAAAAAAGAAGGAATGCAAATTAGCATATTATACCATTCAGATTGTAAGAACCCCAATTTAGATTTGGGAATACGGTCATTGCTAATCTTACAGAGAGCATTTCTGTAAGGAAATCAAGCCCGCTTGGGGGCTATATGGAGTGCATTCCCAGGACTTCTGCTGTTTGAGGAATGGGGCAACACATCTCACAAGATTTTCAGGCTCAGCCTCCTCATGCCAGAATAAGCGTTTACCCCTTCAGCTCTTTCTGTACTTTAGAACGCTGCAAAAAATGTTTCTATGTTTTTTTATATTCTGCCTTTCCTCTCAGCGTTCAGGAGAGTACATGTGGGAACCTGTCCTCATCTTGTCCTCGTGCTAACCTTCTAGAGTAGACTGGGCAGAGAGGGAGGACTTAAACCCGGGCCTTCTGCATCCCAGTCTGAGTCCTTCACGGCATCAGATCAGTGCTTCTGCTTCAGGCCATTAGCTGGCCAGGGTCAACCCTGGCAAAGCACAGCAAACCCTTACTTGCGTTTCCAATGGGGCTGTCTGTCTGCTCCTGTGCCCAGAACCACAGTCCCTGACTGCGTATTTTGTGCCCCCGACCAACTCCGCCTTCAGCAAGTGCACCACCCCTCACCTTGTCGATTGAAATCCATCGGTGGCTGCTTGCAGTCTTGAGCTCTGTGGCCGCTGGCTCCGCAATTATAACAGGAAAGGTTCCCAGGCTTTTTGTGCCCTGCGCCACTATTGTTGTTCACCATCCCCTGTGCCTGATACACCCCTGCAGTGCCGGCCATAAAGCTTTGCATCGGGGGCACCGCAAACGCGGACTGTCCGCTCATAAGGGAGTCCGGCGCGGGGCCGCCGCTGTAAGGAGAGTGGACCATAGGGAAAGCTGAGCTGCTGTTATACTGCTGGGTGTTGACGTAGCCGTTGCTGCACAAGGGACTGAAGGGGAGGAAGGGGAAAGTAAACATTGACGGTGCTGAAAAGGGGTGCTGGAAGTAGTTCGCGTAGCTAACAGTCATGCCGCTCGAGCCGCAATTCCCGCTGCAGCCGCAGGAACTGCACACCATGCAGCCGGGCGGCTGTTGCTGGTGGTGGTGATGGTGGTGATGGTTCTGATTGGGGACGGGAATGTTCCCCGCGGAGCTGCCGCCCCCACTGTAGAAACTGTTCTCCGCGGCTGAGGACAGCGTGGGGCTGGAGCTGGGGGGAGGGCAGCTGGGGAGACTGCTCATGTTGGCAAAGGAGGTGGCTAGGTGGCTGCTGGAAGAGGCAGGGTTGCTGTTTGCACAGAAGGTGCTGCTGGGCATGGGGGCGACTGGCATGCTGCTCATGGCAGAAAAGGCCACTTTGGTGTTGGCTGTGTACAGAGCAGTCCGAGGACTTATTATTGCTGGGGACACGCTGAATTGCATACTGTTGGAACAAGACGACGGCCCGACGATGGTGGAGTCTGTGGGGACGGACGACGAGACCAGGAGCTTGATTGGGGGGCGTGCCATGTGGAAGACCGTGCTCGACGTGACGGTGGCCGTGGTGCTGGTTTCCACTAGGATGCCTGGCTGCTGGGAGGTCTTCACCACTCGGTCTAGAGTGGGCGTGTGCACGATTTTGGACCGTGGGCCAAAATGAATGGAAGGTGTGGCGGAGCCGTTTTCAGGGACCCCGGAGAGCACTTGGAGGGGCTGATGCGGAGAGGTTGGTATCCTGTCCACCATGGCGTTTCCAAAGCTCTTCTCCATCTTGACGCTATTTTGAGGTGGCCCGGCGGAGAATTTTGTCCTGTCTTCTAAAGGTAAAAGCGAGTGCATAGATGAAGAAAGGAGCTTCATGTCTGTATTCCCACGCTCTGATTTGTGCATAGAGTTTAATATCCTAATTGGATTGATGTGAGAAGAGCCGGCAGCCATCATCTGCACCGGCAAGGAGTGGTGAGCGGACGGACTAGACCCTGCCTCGTTCTGTACTGGTAAAACCTGAGCGGTGGGCCTGGCTGAGCTGGAGCTGAAGTGATTCAGGATCGTCACTGGCTTCTCCTTCTCGGGGGGCTCCGGGTGGATCTCTAAACCTGCAAGGCAAACGGGATCAGCCACAGCACGTCCACTAAATGAGGCACAGATGCTGCAGCACAATGAAACGGAGGTCCTTACGCCTCTCATTCTCCTCAGCGCTGTCAGAGCTCTCCTCCCGGGGCTGGATTCCCGTGGGGCTGGAGGAAGAGCTGGAGGATGCCGAGGAACTTCCTTCACGGGGCGGGGTGGAGACGGGCTGATCCACATCCACGTGCAGTTCTTGGGGAGGGAAGCAGAAATCCGTGTTAGAAAGGAGAACGCGAGGGCTGCAATTAAACAAGATGCCTTCTAACCGAAGGCATGGTCTTGTAAGTCACAGGCCTCCCTACCGAAATTTGACTAAAGGAACAAGAAAACAAGAGTACTGTTTAGGATAACTTGGTCCTAGATCTCATTCATCAGGAGTTAGATTAGCAGAGACAGCTCAAGACAGCACCAATGCCAGAAGCACGCTCATCCCAAACTTAAGACCCCTTTACCTGCTGTATGGTTCCCACGCATGTTCTGTATAGGGCTGATGTGAGTAGTGGGAGGAACTCTGGCCACCCCAGTGCTCACAGATGGGGAGGGTGCTGGGTTCATGGTCCGTTTCTCTGACTTTTCTCTGCAGCAAAACAAAAAAACAAAAAAAGTTGACAACACAATCATAAAATGTCTTCTAGCCAGATTGCGGTCTTCAGATACACCCATTTCTAATCCCTTTCCCAACTCCAATAAACACGGTTTTTCTGTGAGCACGTGAGATTGTTCAGAACTAGTTCAGGTACACCTCAGCTTATGGCCATTAGTTCAGAGACCATGCAAAGTTGTGACGGCGCTGAACAAATGGTACTTACGATGGGTCCTCCTAGTTCCGGCCATCGAAGCATCCCAGCGGTCATATAATTGCAATCTGGGTGCTACGTGCCTGGCTCACAGTTACGACATTGCAGCCTTGCGATCATAATTTCCGATGTTCCCTGCCAGCTTCCCACATAGTAAATTGGGAAGCTGACAGGAAGTTGGATGGCATGGTCACATGAAAGGGACTGCCAGAATTGCTATCGCTAAGCAACACAGACATGTGATGTTACGCTTTATGACTATGTTGCTTAGTGACAGCAATTCAGGCCCTAATTGCCGTTGTAAGCCGAGGACTACCTGTATTGGCCACTGTGATACAGGAACGTTCTGGAACAGAAATCTAATGACCCTCCCATAGAGGATCAAATCTGTCCCAGTGTGGAGGACAGATTCCCCATAGCCTGACCAGCATTTAAAGAAAAATCAAGTATGCCCTGTTCTATATTAGCTTAATACAGAACAGTACTATTTTAAGAACATAGAATGCATTCCTAAGTTGTTTGGAATTATTTGTTAAAAACCAAGTTTATTCAGAATTAGTTACAAATCACACCGCAGAGGAAAACAGCATAGGTTTCTTTGGCTGACTCTGATACCTACTTTTCCAATTCCAGCTGGGTCTTGAGCTTCTTCTTTGCTCCCATGGTGAGGGTTTCAAACTTATTCAGATCTTCTTCAGTGAGGCTCAAGAACTTGTACAGAAAGGAATATCAATTTTATAGTGCACAGATACTTGGCATGCTTTAAAATGGTGTGCAATTCAACATGAAGCTTCCTTCATTGAGTCCCCTTAACATTGTTTTTAAAATTTAACGCTCCACAAAGGCACTAGTCCTTGGGGAGACAGAAACAACAAATGAGTATTTGGATGGAAGAGACCCTGCCTGAGCCATCAGTCACCAGAGCACATTCAGTACTCTTAATTCACGGCTGTCATGGGGGCAAGTATGCTGGATCTTGGTATCTGCTGAAAGGGTGATAATCCACCTTTCTCAAAGCTACTCCTCTGACTGTTGGGCTGTAACTCTCTTCATCCAGGCTTCATGCGACTCTGTGATCTGCCATGTTTGGAAAAGCACCACTCTCGAGAGGCCTGATGGAGCGATCTCTCTCTTAACCAGACACACAGGTTCACTTGCGGATGCAAGTGAAGTGGCCCCGAAGGCAGAAGGGCACCACTGCGTGTTACTGCCCATTCAAGGGATTACCAGGGACAATACCCAAAGCCACAGGAGCACACAGATAATCAGCACATTTTCTAGACATAAAAACATTTGTCAAACTGAGAATATTAAAGCAGGCATAATGAATTGGGATATATTCCAATAAAATACAGAAAAATATTAAAATGATAAAATACCAAATTCAATTTATAGCTAAAGGTACACCACGATATTCAGATTAAAAACATACTAGAAGATGCACGTTAGAGCTCCAGGTTCAAGCGACTTATGATTAATCTCCGCCAGAGGGCACCCCGGTGTTGTTTTAATCCAGAATAAGGTGGTAGTAGCTTTACAACATACATGTCCGAAAAGAACTGCCACAAAAGCCATTTTAAAAGTGCTGTTCATCTAAGTAAAGCCTACACTGGCAGAGCTCTTTCCTAGATTATCAAAGGACTCTGCCTGCTAGAACTAGAATTTGTGGGTCGTGGAACTGAGTCTGTGTAGTTCAGTTTTTATACAAAAAAGAGAAATAACTACAGTATGTGCTGGATATCACAAGGAAGCTTCTAAAAAACCACTATAAAAAAGCATACAATATTCTGAGTAGGACTCCCATAGAAAGATGATGATGATGATGATGATCATCATCATCAACTTAAAAACTGCCCAAACCAGTTTAAGTTAAACTAGTTAAATAAGCCACGTCAACAATTATGACTACAGTTGTTAAGTCTTTTCAAAGATTTGCTTTTTCTAAATAGATCATGGGATAAAGGCAGCAACAGAAAAGAAAATAACACTATATTCTCCTGGTAAACCTCGCATCTTACCTTCTCCATTGTCAGCTGTTTAAAAACTGGATAGTACTTGTGCAACCGCAGTTTCCGGAGCCAATCTAAAATCCCATTTTGCTCCTGGGCCTGTGGGGTTTGCGGACTCGAAGTCATTAAAACAGGGGAAGAGTTTTCTATCTGGGTGCGGCTGCACGATAATGCAGATCCAGTCCCACCTGAATGAGAGCAGTGTGAGAGTGCAACTGCTGCAGCAGCGGGATGGGGCATGTGATGCTGAAGACTGTTCTGTGCAGACTGGACACCAGCAACCCCGCAGATGGGTCTGTTGAGAGAGAAGGAAAGCCAAAGAGGAATTATTCGTTCTCTAAGAACTAACAGCACTGTTACATCTCCAAGAAGGTTGCTGGACCTTTGATGCTTTTAACTGCGTATTTCTAAAACGTCAAAAGCCAAAGGACTGTAAGTTTAAGGTGACACTTAATCCACCCCTTTAAGTTAGGGAGCCCTTGATCTAACAGCGCTTGATGAGCTGCCTTCAATGGTAGATGTATCATCCCACCATATCCTGCACGCTCATTTCAAGACAAGTCTCTTGCAGACATTTACATTTAGAAATAGCATGATTCAGGATGTTTGTCATGGATCTCCTTCTACAGTAATGCTTATATTTGGGGATTTACTCTCATGGAACAACACACGTAGAAAATACTTCAAGGGAACAGTATGGATTTGCAGTACAACTTCAGATTTTCCAGGTTAAAACTCTACACACGGAAAGCAGCAATCAGAACCAGCTCATAGAATGCATCAGCAGGTCAGGGAGTCTTGCTCAAAACAGCAGAACGATGCAACATTAGCAATAGGAAGAACTTGTACGAATAAAAAATGTGTAATTCATGAAAATGAGAAGGCAGTCTGGGAATTCAATTTCAAAGGGATAGTCAAAGCACATGAACCTGAACTACATAGTTTTTCTATATTATACACAGTCACTAAATTCATCTCACCTTCCGGAAGCACCCAGTGTAGTACCCACTTTATAAAGGGAAGAATTGCCAGAACCTAAAAACAAGGACATCACATATTTAGACAGTCATTACCTGGCTAAGTTTTTTTTTTTTAAATTGGGAGAGGTGGAGGAGGCAGTTGCTCTTTAAACTCACTTGAACTCTGAAACTGTGGGGAGTGACATGAAGTGCTGAAAAATTTCTTGACGTGGTCATTTTTCCAGACATGGGAAGGTAATGATGCCAAATACCTGCAAAATTATTGTGAAATATAGTATTTTCTTAACTTCAGGCACAAAGCTAAGGCTGCAGGTTTTAATTAAAGATTGTCAAAAATGAAGTCACACTACACACAACTCATTAGGAAATTACAAGTATATGAACAGAAGTTGCCTCCCTTACAACACGCTTGCCACAAGAAGTCCTGAGTCCCCAGAACAGAAGCATGCAATGAACAAGATTATGGTAGCCCTGATTATGGAAATCGTACTACAGACAGAAAAATATTCACTAATTTCTGTATTATGAAATGAGTCACGTTACCACATAATGAACAGCACAAAAAGCCAAGCAACATCAACCTGTTTAGAAATTAGATGATTCTCAAACTGACTGTTAATTAGATTCTTTAAATATATGTGTTCACCATACCATATTAAATATCTGACATAAAGGCCAACTTTTGAAGATTCATTCAAGCAGGAATAAAATTACAAATAGCTACAATTTCAATACTGAAAGTCCAACATTTTCTAGTATTTCTTGCTCTTAAAAACAATAGCAATAATAGGTCTGATTTCTATTCTACACATTCTTTTGGCTTGTCAAGTGTTTTGCTTTCTTTTACTAAAAAAAGATGATGCTGTTCTAGAAACATGAATCAAACTGTGAAAGGCAGTATTTTTTAATAAGCAAGCTTCAGTAAACTAAATTGTTGCTTTTGATCCAAAGGTCCTATAATAGATATTTTATTTCATAATGATTAAGGGGTCATGAAAATCATTGAAATATGCCAGTATTACAGTTCCAAATTACCAAACTTAAAATGAATTCAGTCTCAAAGAAAAATCTGGAAACGGATTCATGAAACAGCCATGATCCTTCCTATGTGTGAGTTAAATCTGCCAAAGACAATCTAGAATTGGTCAAGACTAGAACCTTCTTGCCCACTATATCTCCTTGCGAGCAAATCGCACTGACTCAAGTGATTTAATCATATTGCTTCTACCAACCAAATAGAAGTTTAATAGTTTCAACTTATTCTGGCTTTCCACTTATCTCCTTTTATTAATTTTTCAAGCAGATTTGGCTTATCAGTTCTTCAGATGCAGTTGGCCCTTAGGATTTATTTTACCTGCCAAAGTTATTCATTTTTCTCATTACTCTAACCACACAATGCCTCTTTTTAAGTTCTCTGCAATGGCTCCCTGTCCATTCCCAAATCTAGTTCAAGCTTCTCACTCTCAGCTACAAAATCAGAGTCCTATTTAGACTGGAGCAACACATAAATTGCAGTAGACTGATTAAATAAATAAAATCCTCCACAGTGATCGGTCCTGTGATCCTCACTTGTCTGGCTATTATCAACCTCAATCATCTCAAAGTCTCTTGTTTCCTAAAATAACTCACTTTTTCTCCCTTTTTGCTCTTCCTGTCTGAAATTATCTCTACAAGCGGTTCTTACTTTTATGCTTTCTTCAAAACTCAGTTTATCTGGGAAACTTCTCAGATAATCCTGGAGTGCATTTATCTTTGTAATTTAGCCAAAGTACTGCACTTAAAACAATGGTAGGCCTCTTAAAGGGAAGGCCTATTAAACCTGACCCTGCACGCTGCTAATTAGAAAGATGGATCTGCCAAGCAAATGTTCAAATATGTGCCTGACATTCTGCAGTTCCTAAGAACCAAAAGAGCACCCCGACCCCCGACCCCCCAGCGGGACTGCAGGCACTCCTATCGAGAAGAATTGTGTGGGGACTTTCTGGCATGGAATAACAGAACTGGGCACTGCTAGTGAAAGCAAGGTATAAGATCCAGAAGGTAGATGCGCTATCTGAGAATTCAAAGCAGGCTTTCATAATTTGGGCTAAGAAACTATACTAAGTAAGTGCAACCATGGCAAGTGATAAACTAATCATAATTAACTCTGTAATTATTAATAAGAGCTATTATATTATTAAATAATTAAATCTGGAACTGAAAATCACACCCCCACATGCAGATAAATTTCAGAAACAACCAAATTCTTTGACAGAACAATTTCATAGTATACCTAAGGTCTGATTCCAGGTCCATGTGGCTTCTTTCCAAGTAAAATGAATCTGGACCAGCTAGGAAAGGAATGAATTTCTCCAAATTTTCTTCTGGACACAACTGACCTAACTAAGAAAGAAAACATTGTTTTTGATTATTCATATTGTACTTTTTTGTTGTTACCCTGGGAGCCGCCCAGAATTGTCTAGTTGGGCGGCACCTAAATTGAATAAATTAAATATATTCAATATGAAACTGAAATATAGCACTCAAAAAATAATCTTATTAATTCCATTTTTTAAAAAGCTGTGCAAGTTACACTGTACAGTATAATGTATACCTATTTAAAAATGTATTTTAAAAACACCGATTGTACAAAATCATTTTACCTTTGAAATGAAATCAGTCACTTCAGCAGAAGACTTTGTTACCACTGTCACTGAAGAATCAGACCATAAGACCTGAAGAAATGAAGAACCCTTCTGGTTACCTTCATCAAGCAACTTTAGAACGGACTCCCAATGTTCTCAGAATGAATGGGGCTGGGCCATTGTTACAGTGGGGCAATTTTGCCTACGTTTTCAAAGGTTACTGGCCAATGTTTTCCCCAAAGCGGACTCGTGAACTATACCACTGGAACTGTGCTTTATCCCACTATTCCATGAAGCAAAATCTGGTTTTAGTTTATTAATCTGTAATTGCTTTTCTGTACAAAATGCATTCAAAGTCGAATGTTCATTTTAAAAACATTTCAATGGCCATGGCTTCCCTCATATGCCAAATGAAAATTAGCAAACCATAGCGGCGTATTCTACAGCCAACTCCTAATTATAATATCCTTGTTTACTCAATCAGTTTTTATACTACTGTAATCAGAAGACTGCTGGCAACCTACTGTACTTTTGTTGCTATCTTGTATATTCTCCCGCCTGATCCAAGAGCGGGACCACAAGACGATTCTTCTTTAAATAAACAAAATGTGCTCCGGAGGAACATTTGATCTGATATGGATAAGATGGGCAATATATTGCAATCATCACACCCACACCTGCAGGGCATGCCCTTTTCAAAGCTCAGGCATGGATATCTGGTATCCTCCTGACACAAGCTCCTGACCTACGGATTTGGGAGACAGGATGTCCTAACCCCAAAGATCTGCATCCTTTTTTTCCTGCAAGTTCAACAAGCTCTCTGTCAGCATCTCTGGAAAGTCCGTAGGCTGATACATGATTAGCTGAATTACATGTACTCAGAATACAAAACCCAGGCTGATGCAGTGTGGGTTTTGCACGTATTCTAGGTGCTTTGGGGAATGATGAGGAAACGCTGCCATTATCCTTTTTAAAAAACGAGCAGGGATGAGCAGGATCTTTCCACACGATATTAACAACCAAACACATGCATTTTTCCAGCCCTGAGGATACTGCCAGAAGAGCTGGTGGGAGGAAAGAGTTTCAAAATACATTACGTAATTGAGGAATTTCCTTTTTCCAGCACTTGCTTAACTTAAACTAAGAAACAGAAACGGGCAGGCAGTTTCTATTCTTCCTTGGGCTTCGCTGACTTCTTTAGCTTCCCCTCGCTCTCTAACACACAGATAAAGGATGTAAGGGAAAGAACAGCGTTCCTGGAGGGATTCACTACACAGTTTCATTTACATGACATTTTGCTTGCTTTTCCACATTAAAAAGTGCCGTCAAGATCTGATCAGAACTCCACGTTAGGACAGCATCTAAAGTTAGGATATCCTGAAACGCTGGCATGTTTGTTGGCCCCCATTCTGCTGTTAGCTTGCATAATCCTCATGTTATTTATGGGGTATTCTGAAGTAAGGAAGTTGTGCATAAAACTCTTTCTCCTACAAGTCAGCCATATGACTACTTAGAGCCAGCTCCAAATGGCAAACTGAAGAAGGACGGGAGAAGCTTCTTCGTGGAAATCTGCTTCTGCAGATTTAGTTAAAGCTCAGAGAGTACACCTTCCTTATTTTAAGCTCTCGCACTAGAGAGGCTAGTTGTTACATGTCATGCCCTCAGGCTAGAGGTCCAGGGGAGGGAATTTATAGCATAAATATATCAAAACAAAATCACAGGAATTACAGTATTTTCCCTATCCTGTGAATGGAGCTAAATTGTGATACTGTACTATTGCCATCATTTTAGATATTTGGTACTTCCAAATCTTCTCATTTTTCCTCTCACCTCAAGGCAAGAGATATACTCCTAACAACTTAACAAACTATTATTATTTCACACAAGGGCACAGTATAAGGCCCGCACATTAACTTTTCCCTTGTATATACACAATCAGAACTGTTCTTGGGCAAATGCTCGTTATTCTTTCAATGCATCTTGAATATAAATGGATAGTTATAACCTCCTTTCATTAAAAAGATATAAGGAGAGTATTCCCTACAACATGAAGTGGTAAATGTCCAAGACATATAATTTTGGAATCAGAGGTAATGTAAAACTGAATGTATCTTTTGTGTTTTGGGGGAAAACTACTATTTTTAAAAAAGCAACATTCCTAAAGGTCTTAAAAATAGCATTCTGAGTGCTCCACATCTGGTTCCCTTCATGTCACTTATATTTCCTTATAAATCTTTGAAACTCACCTCAAAAGAATATTCAACAATCCTATCATTCTTCTTGTGTGATAATCCCTTTAATTCCACTTTTTCAACGCTCACTGTTAAAAAAGAAATATAAGTTACACATTGAAGAGCCCCAAAGCTATTCTCTTTCTCTGCAACATCAACAATTGCAATTTATATCCCACATCTGGTTGGCAAATTCCATCCAGGAAGCCTGGATGCTTTTTGCTGATGCCACGTAGGAATGAAATACAAGCAACCAAATGTCATGGAACCAAGTTCACCAAGTGTTAAATATGGGCAACATTTCAGAATAACAAAATGTATTTTTCTTGTGATTGATAGAACAATCCCCATGGATTTTCAATTATCTTGACAGCATGAATACCCTAAATACAAGTATTTTTACTTCTGGGCAAACTGCGGATGTGTCCTTGTTCCTGTTCAGAGAGGCTGAAGGAGGAAAAGATACATGTTTGTGAAGGAGTTAGGAAACTGGACATTATCTAAATATCTGTTCTAAAAATGCTACAATTCTATTTCTCTGCCAAAAAAGGAAAGAACTGCAAATCCAGATTCTTAAATATGTTTACTGTATTTGCATACCTGTCTGTTTTTAAGAAAAGTTAAGAAAGCACCTGAGAAGCAATTCTGTGAGAAAGCATAAGAAGAGCCTCAGGTCTTAGCTCTCTTCATTATGGACAAAGGCAGTCCACCCACTTCTGTCTCCCCATCTGATAAATCAGAAGACATGACTCCAGGCCATTTTCAGATGCTTTGGCAAAAGTGTCTCCTCCCCACAGCCACAGATTCCTCCCATGAGAAACAGAATACAAGGTTCTTGCTTATACTTGGTTTTTTTCCTGACCATTCTTGTCTTCTCCAGGCTTCAGGAAGGCCTCAGAAGTGTTGGTGACCACTGACCCTTCATGGGTACTTTAGCCTATATAAGGCAGCTGATTCTGCCTTCCAAATGACTGGGCAGACACTTTCTGAACCACCAGCCAGAGGAAGGAGTACTAGGTATGTTCGCCACCTTGAGTTATTTATAAAAAAATAAGAAAGGCAGGATAAAAAAAAATCTCCTGTTTTACCCAAGTGGGACAAGAAGATCATCATTGCAATCATGTTTTTGAAATTGTTCTCATGTTTTGAATGGAATGAAATGTACTGGGATGAGGAAGAGGAGGTGAAGAAGAAAACAACCACATTTTTGTGATCCCTTAGTTACTTTAGTCTCTCAATTAAAGCTTTTACCGATTCTTAAAGACAAGAGTATACATATATTTGAATGACTAGTGCTCATTTTCCTGAATCATAGTTCCTTTTCTGTTCTTATACAAAACCAAGTTTTGAAGGGCAAGTCCTAGCTTAAAAAACCATGATGGCTCATTATACCATACAAAATATCAAACAATGCATTTGTTAATTGAATTAACAGCCCTCTTTTTCTGCTGCTTTATGTAAGAAGACCCAACCATCTGCTCCAAATGTTAACTTAAAAGTTGCTTATCAAACTTGTGATAAACTTTCATTTTTAAAAACTTTATGAACATAAGAAAAGCCAAGGCATTTGCAAGAACTCATATCCTGTGCAATCTGCTATAATGAAGCCTGGCTAAAGATGAAGGTTTGGAGCTTGGAAGAGATTTTATATTATCTTCTATTGGAGAGATTTTATGTTTAGACTAGACTAGACTAGATTAATAGAAGCATGGGAGGATTTAAATCTAACAAATAATAAGAACTTCAACCTCTAATGTAACCAGTCTTTACTCATGAGTGGTTTTGCCCTTTGCTTTACAAACAATTGAAGTACATTTAAATTATCATTAGAGTAAAAATATTTTAGCTGGGCAATACACGCATGCCAAAATCAATGTTTTAAAGGTTTTTAACATACATAAAATGCTCATCTTTGAAACAAGAGTTAATTGATGATCTCCTACAATAAGAATTCTTAAAGTTTGCTGGATAACATACCAGCAGCTAAAAAGATTGTGGTTAAAAATATCCATGTGTGTATACTGAATATTAATCTCTCTTGGAAAAGCTAACGTTGTTTAAAAGCACTTTTCCTAACTAACATTCCCTTAATGTTTTTCCCACTCCTCCCAAAACACATTTTCTCCCTACATGGTAAATTAACAGTTTTAAAAATGTTAAAGCTGAAGTTCCTATTTATTGTATCTGTCTGCAGAAAGTTGTATGAACTGAATCCAGTTGAAGTATCAACTGTAATAATGCTTACATTTGTCTCATAATTAAATGTTTTTAAAGTTATTTTTCATCTTTTAATTCATAGGAGGTAGTTTTCACCTAAAACTTTATCAGAAATTGAACTAATAGGAAGTAAGTCACGCTAGTCATATATTTATCAGACTGATCATGCCACTGTGGCCAACACCTCCAGGGCTAAGCAAGTGCTGTAAATCAATTGTTATTTAGACAACTACATCACAGGCACGCTAATACCAAGAAAGAATTGAAGTTAACACAGAAGAATTGTTTGATTGATTGATTGACTGACTGATACTTTAAAATAACTGCTTAACTGGGGAAAAGAGAATTATACCCATACTATTAACCTTGCACTAGCCAGCCCTGAAATAGTCACATGGTTTTATTAGCACTCAAGCATAAGAGCACAGAAAAACAGCTTCTTAAAAGTGTCAACATGAAAATGGGGGCAATTTTGAGTGTTCGATAGCTCAGAATTGTTACTAGCCAAGTTAAACTAGTGAACAGGCAAAGAGATAGCGCTTGTAGACTTCTCATAAACTAGATTATTTAAATAGCAATCTAGTACATATCAACATTTATAGACTGAATTACTGACATGCAAAATAGATTTTAATAGGAAAAAATAGAATAGTACTCTCAATGCCAGATTAATGTCATTACAGTCCAATGGTCCAGCTGAAATAAATAACTTGAACAAATCAATCTGCAGTGCATGGGCTGTCAAAAGACATTCCTCAAAAGTTTGTGATTCAAGGATATTTCCTTTTCAAAAGAAAGCAAGTTCAAAATACTGCTTTCCAAAAATACTGTATCTACAGAATTCTCTGCCTAGTGTTCTAGTAACAGTGAATATCTTCCGGTTTGTTTTTGTTTTTTTTAAGATCATCAACAATTTTCCCCCACTATAATGCAAACAATGTGAGAGGAGAACTGATCTCGGTTTATTGCAGGCAGGGGGAATCTCTTATTGGCCAGGTCTGCTATTACTGACTGTTGGGATGGTGAGGACCACCGGGAGGAAGGCAGAGCGGCCATGTCGATAGAGCCATGTCTCATCGGCAAAGCCAGGGTTTCCTGCCTTCTTCTGGGTTTTGAATATGGCTAGGATTTTGGAAGGTTTTGAATATTTAACCTTGTTTTATGCTGACACTACAGTTTTTGTATTGTTCCCACCATAAAATGTGAGAAACAGAAATTTAGCAGCACAGTAAAATGGAGCTCCAAGGGAAATTTTTTGTCTGCCTCTCGTCTACCAGAACTGCTTGTAGCAACAGCAAATCTTCACTATTGCGTCTCTTCCTTCTTTCACTCTGGTCCTAGACCAGGAAACTGCTACATGTGAGATAACTGCCAGAGAGACGTACACAAGGATGGCAATGCTAACAACATATCAAGTTACCACCGTTCTCCTATAAAAGAAACCACAGATATGAAACACGCATATCAACATTAAAAACCCACTAAACCACACTCATGCGGACAACATATGGAGCATTCAGTTCCAATTTATAGCACTAATATACTTAATTTCCTGTCTGATTCTGCAACTTCATTCTTTTTATTTTCAGACAGTGAATAACTTTTTCATGTATTTCCAAAAGCAGGTTCAAGATTAAAAGATCTTGGGCTTCTTTTATTATACTTGGTTTCCTTTCAATATTAAAAAAGTTAAAATCAAAACAAAGTATGAATTCAGTGACTAGACAAGTAGTGAAGTCAGCAACTTAAGATAACCACAAAACTCATTAAGTATCCCAGAACTGTTAGTATACTGGGAATTATGAGAAAAAAATATAACTGCTATTTTAAAAAGATGAGTAATCTCTGGGACAGGAAACTAAAACTCAGATCAACATTATTTTTGCACAAATAGCTGACTTCAACTTATTATTCTCTTGTGCTAGCAGTTAAAATATGACATTTCTAACTGCTGGAGCTATGTACTATACAGACACATCAAAAATCACAAACATTATTTTTCAACGAAAAATTATTTTATCTGCCTAGAACTAAGCACATGCCAACACGAAGCATAACACATGACTTTCAGCCTTAAAGAAAAAAAAATGAAAAAGTGGTTATGTACACATTGCAAACTAGGTCTGCAATGTGTTAGGATGTTGTTCTCAGGTTCACAACCTCTGCGTGAACTACACAAACAATAGGTACTGTTCTGTGTCTTTTTAAAATAAATAAATAACTCAAGTGACATTCTAAGGATGGATTGCTCACTGCTATACTTGAATTTCTGTAATAATTGCTCAACCTGCTTGATATAATTTATCAAGTTAATTTGAGATACCTACAATATCTTCAGCACATTAGAATTCCATTCTATGGGGTCATACTTAGGAACATGTCAAAGGGTTAGGGACAGGCAACCCTTTACTGCACTCAAACTGAACACTGGTTTCATATACATATACATATGCATTAGAAAGGCCCCGGATGATATAAATACTGAAGTCTACAGAAACAAACACACACACACATAGAGGAAGAAAGAGAAGCGCTTCCCACAAAGTTGGCAACAATTGTAATAGCCGCAGGAGCAAATGACTCGGCTACCTTCTGCAGATTAGTTGCAGCAACTCTAAACGCTGAGTCACCCCATGCTGAATGCTGGATCCCAGTAACCTCCTGTGAAACGCATTCTGTGAATTTTGCAGAGATGAATATTTTTATCCCTTTCTGAGGAGTGTGGGAGTGGGCAGCCTGCCCGTAGGGCCACCTGTTTCGGTTTCAGAAGCAACGAAACTCCTCAGTCAGCTGAAGCAGAGGAAGGCCCAGGAAGCAACGCGGTCTCCTGAGCTGACCAAGGCATCTCCATCCAGGGCTGCAGCACTCCCCT